TCGGAAAAAACCTCACTACTTTTCGGAAAAAACCTCACTACTTTTCGGAAAAAACCTCACTACTTTTCGGAGTAGTGAGTAGTTCGGTTCGGTATTGCTACTTAAAAGTAGGAAAAAGGTTGACTTTTTTCCGAAAAGTAGTGAGGTTATTTCCGAAAAGAGTCATGATTATCTCTTTTAGTTAGATAAGATTTTAACAGATGGCGGTATAAGATAATTCGTTGATTTAAAGACGTGTGTATCGGACTGATTGTGAGTCAACTTTAGTTTATATATAAAACACATAAAATACGTTTGACGTATTTATACGTCCCACCCAGTTAACAGGTTAATGAATTATGCTTTGTTATAAATATTCGTTTATTATAATTTTATAATTGGATTAAAATGAAGTACTTTTTTTTAAATTCATTTTTAAGTTATATCAATGTATTTGTGTGTGTATGTGTGTTTCATTATCGTCTTAATTTTTTTATCTATATATATATATCTATAGGATAATATTGGATTACGATATGGATTACGGTATTCGTGTGTAAAACCTTACAGATCGTTGAATTTTTGTGTCGAAGGATGAACCGGAATACCTCACTGCGAACGTTTGCAAAAATTTCGTGGCCGCGTTCCTACGATCCGTTAAACTCTTAAAAATGTGAAAAAGAGAGAGAAAGAGAGAGAGAGAGAGAGAGAGAGAGAAAAAAAGAAAAAAGAAATTGACGTGAAGCTGCACCGAGATGTTACCAGAAAGATTAGCTATATTACAACTCGTTACGTTACTTTTTTTTTACAGAAAGTGATGTAACCAGCAAATTAACGTGTAGAGTTATTAAAAAACAACAAAAAAAAAAGAACAGAAAATTAGAAAATTGTTAATTGGAGTTGAAAGAAATGGCAGAGTATTTTTTTTTTTTCTTTTAATTGGCACCCTTCGTGTTCAACAAATCAGAGAAATGTTCGTTTTTTTGTCTTTTATTTATTTTATCACACTATATTAACAACGAATTTTTTTGCAGAGTACTTTCTCATTTTACTGAGATATTTATTAGTCAGAAATAATTTCAGTTTGGTCCAACAAGCCTTCTTGTTTTATTACCACTTTTCTATCCCCCAACTTATTTTTTTTGTTTTCCTATTCCGATAGTTTCCCCCAACCCCCAATCCCTTTCGCGTTTAGGGAAACTTATCATCGCGGATGAAATGGCTCAATATGGATATTGCATGCATACCACAAATTGGAGTGAAGCCAGATGAAAGTAAAAGATAAAGGAAGAAAACAAAACAAAAAAAAATTAGAAGAAAACTATTGGTAGGTTTTGAAATCGTATTCTCTCTCTTCCTTTCTCAAATGTTGCTTTTGGCCCGCCTACGACGATTTCACATTTTTTCTATATTTCTGTTCTTTTTCTTATTTTTTCTTTTTTTTTTTTGTTCCCTACGTTTATCGGATTTTCTTTCTCTCTCTCTCTCTCTCTCTCTCTTTCTCTCTCTGTGTGTAACAATTCTGAACTTTGTCAACAAACGATTGAGAATGATAGAATATTTTTTCTCGCCAAAACGATTGTAATATTTGATAAGTGAAAAAAGGATTGTTATTGCTTTTCTTTTTGTTTATTTTTATTTTTGAAATTGCAAAAGGTTTACTTTAGAATGGGGGAGTAAAGGTGATTTGAAAAAAGTGAATGAAAATCCAAAAATACGACCCAAATTATTCCCTTCTTTGTAAAAACAATTAAAGATTGCGAAATTAAAATTAAAATTAGTTACAACCAAAACAAAAAAATAAGTAATTGTGTTGACCAATGATAAAAATATCTTAAATTTAATTTTTTATAACTGAAAATTTAATTATATTAGATTGGTAACTAAGTCATTGCGGATTTTGTTTTACATCTAATTTCAATTAAACTTTTTTGATAGCAAAGATCAGAAATTTGATGAACGTAGTATAATGACACTGCCTGACCAATAACAAAAGGTTATCAACAAAAATGGAATACCTAATTGAATAAACTTATATTTTTAGCAACAATTTGAAATTTTTAATCTTATTTAAGATCTGCAATCATTTAGTTGCCAATCCAATATTTAGGTTAGGTTTCATCGACATCCTACGATTTTTGTGTTTATTTATGGCATTCCATTTTGATTACTCAAATTTGGAAAATTGTAGTTTTTTGTCAACTACCCCCACCCCAAAATTATATCGGTGTTTTTTGGTATATATGGTACCAACAATATAATAAATACACCCCCTACAATTATTTTACTTCTGATACTCAGGATTCATCTCATTCTCTCGAGGTTTGGTTTTAAGGGTTCACTTTTAACATGTGTGATTTGCATACATGATATTTTGTTTTATTTTATTGTTTGTTTATTTAAATTAGATTCTAAAGGAACTAAATATTAATTTTAATATTCGTAGGAACACCGACGATTGTCAAAACTAATATTCTGATAAGAAGCATGGGTCCTGTTTCCGAATTGGATATGGTATTATATTTCATTATTATTTTTGAAAGACACTTTTGCAACAGATAATAATTAAATTATTTAACTTAATATACCTTTCTGATATTTGTATGTTCTTTTATGATGTTCATAGTTTTACAGATAAGTGTATAAATACAGTTATTGGTTAGTATGTTTACACTTGGGTTGTATACGTTTCCCGTTGCTAAAGTGTTCTTCAAATTAAAAAAACAAAAACAATTCAAAATGATATAATTAATCAATAACATTTATCAATTTTATCTCACACATATTAGGATTACTCAATGGATTGTTACTTCAGACAATCTTGGCGTGATTCTCGGCTTAGTTTCTTAGGACCCATTAAATCTCTCAGCCTTAGTATAAAAATGCTTGAAAGAATATGGCGTCCTGACACGTATTTTTACAATGGGAAACATAGTTACGTGCACACTATCACAGTGCCCAACAAGTTGCTAAGAATTTCTCAAGATGGTGATATACTTTATTCCATGAGGTTAACACCATTAATTTTTATATGTATATTTTTTATCCTTATTTATTAAATATATATATAAAACTTTATTTTATAGGCTTACCATTAAAGCTAAGTGTCCAATGGAATTACAAAATTTTCCAATGGATCGACAATCCTGTCCTTTAATTTTAGGAAGCTGTAAGTACATCATTTACCTGTTGATTTTAATATTGGGTTGGCAACTTAGTCATTGCTGAGTTTACAAAGCCACCTATCGATAAAATCCACAATCATTTACTTGCCAACTCAATACATTTGCAAAGAAATAAAATTACAATTCTTTTTCATTCATAAAAACCTGAAATTATTTGTCTATTATGGGATCTTTAGCACTTGAATACGCTATCTGGTGGTTAAATTCAAAATTAGAATAGATAGGTCGAATTGCTATGTCACGTGGGATCTCTAGCACTTGAATACGCTATCTGGTGGCTAAATTCAAAATTAGAGTAGATAGATCGAATTGCTACGTCACGTGAGATCTCTAGCACTTGAATACGCTATCTGGTGGCTAAATTCAAAATTAGAGTAGATAGATCGAATTGCTACACCACGCCGCTCCTGTCAGGGATCCCAATACGTATGTGATTCAGTTCAAATATTTGCTTTTTGTTTTTTTTTAGATGCATACACATCTAGACAATTGGTTTACGAATGGCAAGAAGGTTCTTCAGTAAACTTTGTTCCTGGAATGGCTTTATCCCAATTCGATTTAATGGGTTCTCCTTACAGGAATCTTACGTTTGTACGTCGCGAAGGAGAATTTTCCGTTCTCCAAGTGTCTTTTAATTTACAACGACATACTGGTTATTTTTTGATACAAGTAAAGAACGATTTATTTCGATTGCGTACACATTTTTCTTGCAAAATTATATTTGTTAATTTATTTATGAAAAATATTCAAGGTATACGTTCCATGTGTGTTGATCGTTGTCTTAAGTTGGGTATCATTTTGGATTCATCGTGAAGCTACCAGCGATCGTGTAGGTTTAGGTAAACTAATTTGATTGATAAAAAACACGAACCCATGAACTTGTATGTGTATTTAATTCACATATATATATATATATATATATATATATATATATATATATATATATTTTAAAGGTATTACTACGGTACTAACACTTTCAACGATTAGTCTCGATTCAAGAACCGATTTACCAAAAGTTAGATACGCAACAGCCCTTGATTGGTTTCTTCTCATGAGTTTTGGTTATTGCATTGCTACCCTTTTAGAATTTGCTGGAGTACATTATTTTACTAAGGTATATAATATTATTAATTATTATAATTGTCATTTATCAATAATTTATTATTATTAATTTATTCTTAGGTAGGAAGTGGTGAACTTCCATTGGATGAAGAAGAATGGGAAAATATTTCGGATAAGGAATATGAAGATCCATTTTGTACTATTGCTACTTGTGATTCTCAAACTATTCATCCAGATAGTATCATCGATGAGACTTCAAGAAGAAGTTCAGCTGTATGCAGCATTTATAATGTAAAAATATTTTGAAAAACAAATACAAACGTAATACGTATATATTGGGATCTCTGGCAGGGGCGTGGCGTAGCAAAATTCGACCTTTTTACTCTAATTTTGAATTTAGCCACCAGATAGCGTATTCACGTGCTAGAAATCCCAATATATGTGTGCTTGTAATTTGAAAAGTGGACTAATATTTTATAAACAAATTTATGAGATATCCTATAATTTATAATATAAATAATTCTAACCTAACTTTTTAATTACATCAAATAGTCCACTTTCTCAATTACAGGCAGCCATATTTATTTCATTAGTTAATATTTATTTAACAAATGAATAAAATTATCAATCAGAGATGTTTGTAGGATTCGGTAACGTACAATAGACGATCTTATCAACCCGTAACAATGGCTGTTACATCGAGACCATCAACAATGGAAAGACAGACGCAAACTGAACGACGATTACCCAAATGGAAACAATTTTTATATTGTTTGGCAGGTGACGATGAATTCAGGTAATTTATTTACATATTTTTAACATATTTGTTACGCTTGATCATTAAACAAATTTTTAATTGAGAATTATAGAAGACGAAGACAACGTGAAGCAGCAGGAAATTGTCGTAAATTTGGTGAACGTGTAGCGAGACATATTAATAGTGTATCAACAATAGATCGAGTAGCACGAGTAGTATTTCCGGCATCTTTTGGTTTACTTAATGTATGTTATTGGGTTGTTTATGTCACCTATCAAGAAGAATTTAAATGGCAAGATCCACCGATCGGTTCGAATTCTCGATAAACAAATATATCGATTTATAATTATACACACATTACATAATAAATTAATTTAAATTTAATACCTTTTCCTATTAATTTACAAGAATATATAAATGCATACATACTTATAATTATTAATTAAGCAATATTTCGTTCATATTTTTTTTATAAATATATATAATAAATAATGAAATTCAAATATTAAGCAAGGCTCCATTAAAAAGTAATAATTCAAATTTGACCAATCAAAATACTGCACGTGATCATATATCGAAACTCGATTAAAACGATAATTTAATGATATTTAAATGATCGAAATTAATTATCTATGCACTAACGATACAATATATTACAATTTTAAGATACTTTGAATATTAAAATACTTATAGTTTAATTTTACAAGTAATAGAAGTTTTAAATATAACGTACAGAGTGATAATACTTACAGTAGTCGTATTGAAAGTTTGAAAATATGAATTCCCGCCAAAAGTGACAGAAGACGTTAGTTAAGTCGTTCTATTAATAAATCAATTTGAATAATCTGTAAAAAGAAATATTTCATATTGTTCGGTATAATTTTCTTATCTTTAATTTACGAATAGAAATGAACAGCTGTGAGAACTTATTATTATCTTTTCGTAAGTGCATAATTTTAGCGATCAGCTGCTCGATAATGTGTGGCAACAGTGTTTGGGCGATGTCGTTGGTATTGTTCAGTATTGTTGACTTCAAGATGGCTGCGGATTACTGTGGGAGATATTCTAAGAAATCGTAATTCTCCCTAAAGGAATTTTCTTATTTTATATATAAATATATATAATTCAACAAATCTTGTGTTATACGACCTTAAAAACTTCGATGACAATTGCACCGACGTTTAATAGCGTCGTTCGATTTAGAATACTGTAGAAAAAAAAAAAAGATAAAAAAAAACAAGAAAAGAATATGAAAATCATGCCATCTGACATTAGCTGACTTATGGAAGAACCTCCAATGTCAGCAAGGAGGATGATTTTTAAAGTTTTATGGCGTTATCGCCTTTAACCGAGGTGATTCAATTGCTCGTTAATAATTTCTATTATTTTTTTTTTTTTTTATATCAAAACATCAACGTTATTTTGAATTATTCTTAAATAATATGACAGACATATATATATATACATAAAGATTTGAAAAATGTTGTCTTATGATATGAAATTTGTCTATTATTATTTTTCAAAAATTTATACACATGCATTTAAACACATGTTTTTCACAGTAATACTCAAATGTCAATATGAACCCATCGATGAACCGAAAACGCAGTTCGTCTGTAAGTTTTACAAGAGGAAAAGATAACAGCGATGATGATGTTGGAGATGAAATACACATATCTTTGGCACCGTACATACAAACATATTTGGCACATAGCGGACAAGGACTTGGATGTTGTGGGATTAGTTTACCGGTGCCATTTGAACGTGCTGCCACGCATTCTTGGTGGAATCCAAAATTTGATTCTGAAATTTTAGAAGATCAATTTAAAAGAAGTGCCTTTCCACAGATTAGACTTAGATTCCGGTATGTACTTGTCACAAGAATTGTATTTATTTAATTTTACTTTTTATATATTGATAATATAATAAAGTTTAATTATGTTTTGTAGATATGCTCTTACATATATCCTGTTGGTATCTGTGTTTTGGCTGACATATTTTGTAATCACTGGAATAGAGAATAATACTTCAACATGGCCAGCTATAGCAGCCATTTTCAGTATTGTTGGAACCATGGTATCCGCTGTATTATATTTAACTCATACGGAACATTACAAGTCCTACGTGTTAACAACTTCAGTAGGAGTTGCATCAGTGCTGTGCTTTCTTTCTTTACTATTTCTTGCGGTAGTACCGCCTCACGTAGATGGCTTAACACTAGTAGGACATTTTGCACTATGTTCAGAAATCTTGTTACTGATTTATACGGTACTACCAATGCCCCTTTACGCTTGTATAGGAATATCTACTATTTACTCGATAATATTTGAATTTTTAACCGCCTATCTTTATGGCTCGAAAAATAGAAGACAAAGGATATTTGACGATCAACAATTTTTTAATCATTCTACAGTAAGAAATATTTCTGAAGATCACAACAGAACATCGGTTCCTATCTATTCTTCACAAGAACATCATAGTTTACTCAATGGTCTCCAAAGTATAATGTCTAATGTTAGCAATGCATTGAAAACTGGCACAGAAATGATGTCTAATTTCAATACTTCTAATTCAATATCTAATCTTAGTTCGAAATTGTTGAATGAAGAAAATCTATCTAAAAATATAGTAACTAAACTAAATTCTAGTATTCCATTTGCTATGGCAAATGTTGGTTCTACTATCAACTCAACGGCCAACAATATAAATATTATTAATAGTTTTAGTAAAATGAATGCTTCTTCTACAGAAGACAATTTAGTTCATAATGTTGTTGAATCTATTAACAATTGGACTAATACATCTGATACTTATTCGCAAGATGATATTGATTTTACAACGAATCTCAGTATAAGAATTTTAATGCAAATATGTATTCATTTAATCGGCGTACATATCTTGATAATGACATTTGTACGTATGCGTGGTACTTTTATGAAAGTTGGTCAATCATTGCTCGTACGACGTCAATTAGAAATGGAAAGACAACTTAAAGAAAAAATGATACATTCTGTAATGCCGCCAAAAGTAGCTGATTGGTTAATGGAAGAAAGTGGTAGAGAAAGGGAACGTGAAGATTCTCTTAAAAAAGGTTCTATACCTTCTAATCAAACGGATATTAGATCTTTATTTCGACCATTTAATATGCACTCTATGGAAAACGTTAGCATATTATTTGCCGATATTGTTGGTTTTACTAAAATGAGCTCGAATAAGACTGCAGAGGAATTAGTTGGCATTCTTAATGATTTATTTGAACGATTTGATGATTTATGTGAGCATCATGGATGTGAAAAAATTTCTACATTGGGTGATTGTTATTATTGTGTCAGTGGTTGTCCTGAACCAAGACCCGATCATGCAAAATGTTGCATCGAAATGGGATTAGGTTGGTATTTTGTCTTTATATATATATATATTTCTTGAATTATTTATCTAAATTGATATGATTGTTTCAGCTATGATAGAAGCTATAAAACAATTTGATATAGAAAGAAGAGAAGGTGTAAATATGAGAGTTGGAGTTCACACGGGAACCGTTTTATGTGGAATCGTTGGCACTAAAAGATTTAAATTTGATGTCTGGTCAAATGATGTGACATTGGCAAATAAATTAGAGAGTACTGGTAAACCAGGGAGGGTACATTTGAGTGAAAAAACTTTAAATTTTTTGAATCATCAATATATCACAGAAGAAGGAGAGGTAGTCAACGGTATGTGTATATAATATGCATTAATATAATTGTTTAACTAACAACAATATTATTTCTAATTGTAGGTATTAAAACTTACTTTATAAAAAGTCGTAAATCAGATATTATGAACGAATTTGTAACAAATATCATATTACCCAAAGATTTATCTCCATTAATGCAAACTCGTCATCGTCTTGCCTCTTGCAATAATCAGAACAAACCCAAACTTCATTATCTCCATATGGTAACTAATGCAAGTAAGATAAAAGCTAATTCCTTGCCCAGTATTTTGGATTCTGAAAATAGTAATGACATGGATGATGAGAAGGAAGATCTTAATAAAAGTCCAATGTCAACTGCGAGTTATGAAAAAAAAAGATCGCGTAATAAACCATGGCGTTATTTACAAAGACAAAGGACGAGCGAAGAAATGACTCCTTTAGATATGGAAGAAGGAAAAAGTATGATTTTAAAACAACCAAAAAGTGAAACATTCGAAGATCGCAATGGATTCAAACGAGTCAGTTATTTTCTATGTTTTACTATTTACTTGTTTACTTTTTTTGTTTGTTTGTTTATCATTTAAATATTAATTACCTATGTGTTATTTTGTAGATTCCTTTCAATAATAGTGTTGAAATGGATCCAAATCCTGTGCCTTCTAGTCCTTTATTGTCTGGTCAAGAAACAATAAGTCACGCTTCATCGATATGTAGTAGAAAAGATTCTGGTATTAAGAGTAATAGCAGACGTAGTAGTATTCAACAGCAGGTAAATACAAAATATTGTAAATACATTAATTTCACTTTAAATCAATAATGTAATGCAACAACGAATCATTGTTACAGTTGTTCCTGATGAATGGTATTGCTCAAGGGGATTTATTAGGTCACAGAGTCAGTGGTTATTATACTTCTAGTTCAACTTTGAACTCTACACATGAAATTTCATCATCCGTACCACCGTACCCGTTTCCTCCAGTAGTGACTGATACATTTGGTGCATGTTTTCATAAGTTAAGAAAACAATCTGATTTACAATTGATAAGGTAACATTTTAGTTATTAATATTTGAAAAAATATACACACACACACACACATACTTTCACGTTTTAATTTTGTTAAATCTTGTTTTGTAAAGATGCGTTCAAGACAACGTGAGTTCTCAACGATCGTATTTTGTGAAACCACCGTTATCAAGCGTAACGCTATTTTTTAAGAATAAAGAATTGGAAAAGGAATACAGAGAAAATGCACACCGAGCAAGTGAAGGTGTAACTGGCAATCCACCGACTCTAGCTACATCAAGATTTAATACTTATTTTGATATATTGATATCGGCCCTGGTTTACGTAGCTATTACAATATCACTCTTCTTACTTTGCAAACCTTCAATATTTTCTATTGTATTTTGCGTATTTGCCACGGCTGTTCAAATTCTAGCCGTTTTACTTTGCATTAGACAACTTTTTAAACCAAATACCACTCACGCAACTTTAACTCAAAAAATATTCGATTTTTTTTCTCGATGGTATCCCTGGCACGTTTGCGGTGCTATATTAGTTGGTTTACCAATTGTTTCAATTTTGTTAAACTTCACTTGCAATAGTTTACGTACATTGAATAACTTTGAATATTATTACAGTTATTTGATCTTCATTGGATTGGTACACTTTTGTAATTTTACACAATTGAATTGTTGGATGAAAAATTTACTAGTCACCTTTGCTGGTGCTTTATTTATTTGTCTGGTTGTTAGTCATATATCGTATAATCAAGATATGACAATACCAAGTGATTACGATATCAGAAATAATACGCAAGTACGATCAGCAATGCGTCCAAATTTAATCAACGCCATTTTAATTGAACAAAATAATTATCCTATAGATGAAAATTTAATTATTCCACGAAAAGAATTTCGTAATATTGTAGAAGCGTCAACACAATCTTCACAGAAAATAATCAATCAATCACGCAAACCCATGATGGAAGAAACTATTATAATAACCGAAAGGGAAAATGAATTAAGGTACAACGAAAGATTGTACCATTCTGAGATTTATCTTGATATGATACTCTTACTTCTATTAGTTTGGTTTTTGAATCGCGAATTTGAGATTAGCTATCGATTGAGTTTCCATGGAAATTTTGTAGCGGCCAGAGATAAGACGCGTGTACAATCGATGAAAAATCAAGCTGATTTACTTTTACATAATATTATACCCAAATATGTAGCCGATCAATTGAAAACCACTGCTAAATATTCGCAAAATCATAAATCCGTCGGGATTATTTTTGCCAGTATTGTTAATTTCAACGAATTATATGACGAATCTTATTTGGGTGGTAAAGAGTATCTACGAGTACTTAACGAATTGATTGGTGATTTTGATGAATTACTCGAGAAAGCGGAATTTTCAAATGTTGAAAAAATCAAGACGATTGGTAGTACATTTATGGCAGCTAGCGGTTTAAATCCACAAGTTAGACAACAAAGTGACCATGAATATACTCATCTTTTTCAATTAATTGATTTTGCAATGGCTATGCACAAAGTCATTTATGATTTTAACAGAGACTTGTTGGAATTTAAATTGATCTTAAGAATTGGTTTTAATTATGGCGACGTTACGGCTGGTGTAATAGGTGCGACAAAATTGTATTATGATATTTGGGGTGATGCTGTAAATATTGCATCAAGAATGGATTCAACTGGGGTCGCGGGTAGAATACAAATGGCTAGTAATTGTATTGGTGTACTCTCAGATAAATACGAGTTCGAACCACGCGGTCAAGTATATGTAAAAGGAAAAGACAATATGGATGTATTTTTACTCAAAGGAAAAAAGGAAAATACTACAAATGTTAATGGTACTTGAATTATACAGAGTGCCAATTAATACATCAATGATCTGACTATGTTATATGGCATGAGATGAAATTCGAGGTTGTGCAGTTTTAATATATATATAAATTGATTTGGATGAAAAATGTCAATATACAGGGTGTACCAAAATATATATGGGCATAACTAAAGTGATAGTAGTGATCAATATGCTAAAATAAGCACAAGTTAGTGTTTTTCTTATTTTAGCTTACTGAAACCACCACTCCTGTAAAGTTATGAAAACCTTGTATGTGGTATGTGTGTGGACTTAAGAATGAATAAAAGAGAGAAATGTATTTAGTGATGGTAAATTGAAAAGAGCCTAGGGACGAATGTTTTTTTGATAGACGTTGTATTCTATTAAAAACTAATCGCCTTATATTAATTGACTGCTCAAATTCTGCTAATTAAAGATATTTATTATCGAGATATTATAATTGTATTTTTGTAAATATTAAATCTAACAAATTGTTTATATCATAGAGAGTGATCTTAAAAACCTGCCTTTGTCAAGTACAAAGCGTATAATCAAGGGTTCAACAAAACTCTTGGGTGTCGCGTTCATTTCAATACAAGGAAAAAAATGTATAATAATTTGTGAAAAAAAGAAAAAAAATAACTAACACGCAGACTAATTATTATAATTACATTTAAATATATATACATATATATATATATATAGTTACGGGGCAGGCAGTTCCTATAAAAAAAAAATATCTATATATATATATTTGGGCTTTGTACCACAAATATCATTGTAATATAACATGAAGAATTGATTATAAAAAAAGAAAAAAAAAAACAAGAAATGAAAAAAAAAAAAAAACATTAACAGTATGTCTTAAGCATTTAGGTTTGATATTTAATTGAAAGATCTTAGTATAATGTAAGATAAATCCCAAATAACTTCTAGTATTTTAAATCATAATGTAAAACAAAGTTGAAATATGTGCTTATGCAAAGTTTACTATCTCATCATTTAAATAATGTCCCTGCAAAAAAAGGTTATAAAAGAAAAAAAAAATATGTATCTCATATTCTTGCCTATCATCTTCTTAAAAATTGACAATTTGTAACGAATGAAATTTGTCTTCGCTTATTAAAATAATAACTTAGTCAATTGTAGGGACAAACAAAGCTGTCTTTAAACAATTTTTTTTCTTTTCTCTATATATATATATATATATGTAAAGAATAACTTTTTACCAAAGATCAAGGAATGATTTAAAGAAAATCTTGAGTTTTTCGTTAGAAACATGTAAGATGATGATATAGAATATGATCCGATATTATTATAGATTTATATTCAATTTTAGCTTTGCCTATAAACAATATGCGTTTAATTTTGTTGTTGTTAACAATTTGTATTACGTATTAAAACATTCCAATAATTATTTTTTTGCGATGAAACATTACAAGAAAGAGATCTTAATTAAAACAATGTAATTAAATCTGTTATAAGAATTATTCAAAATGAATTATATTTATATAAAGAATGAAAGAAAGAAAGAGAAAACATTGTAAAAACGATTATAGTCAATTAATTAATCATTTTTTATAAATTTGCTATATATAACAAAGTCTCGCGAAGTATTAGGTCGAGTCATAAATAATTTCCGTTTTTTTTTATGAGACAAAGAATGACGTTTCTGCGACTGATAAGTGCAAGACACCTTTCATGGACTTTTTTTTTGCACTCTTTGTATTTGTTGGACGTATCTATTGGATTTTGCTCCAATATTACCTTTAAAAGGTTCGTCAAAGTTGGAAATACGTCCCTGCACTCGGTTTTCATCTTTTAAGATTGTATCTGCAGAACGGAATTTTACAAACCAATTTCTGACTGCCCTATCAGTTATCAAGTCCTGCACTGTATACGCTGTATATTTTTTCAGCTGTCACTTTAGTGCTATTGCCTTGTTTCAATTCCTAAAGCATTACATCTTGAATATGCACTTTTTGAAGTGAAAACTTCTTTAGAATGGATGTGATTTGAAAAAATGTAACGGAGCGGTAGGCGGCTATGTAACGGAGCGGTGGAAGGCGATGAAACGGCCGCGATACTAAATAAGAAGAGAATACAATTATTCTACACCAGATATTTTTATTTTGTATTCGTCTCATTCTCTTCTAAAAACTTAGTTTTTTTTTTTCAAGATTTCACTTCTAACACGTGTGATCTTTACTATCCATTTCAGTGGTTAAGAAAAACGGTTAAATGTAACATTGACTACATAAGAAAGTTAACAGAAGACTAAACTGAATCCTCATCTATACAGTGATATTGAAAATTTGTTTGTTTCGATGACTTATAATAGGTAAATACGAAAAATAGATTCTACATAGTCACATCGGAAGTTACTTATGACTCGACCTAATATTTGATAACTTTTACAATAAGCTATATTAGATTAATTTTCTGAAAATCCTTCCTTGTTTGTGGAATACATATGTATATGATCTATATATTTTTATTATTTTAGATTTTAACAAAAAAAAAAAAAAAAAGAAATGAAAGAGAGAGTTATATTAACAACGACGAAGAGAAGACTAATATATAATAATACAAATATAATCTGAGGCATGAGCTTCATTTATGAATCTTTAGTAAAAAAATATTCAAATGAAAAATGTTAAGTTTTGCAATGTCTATTTTCATACAGCTAGAAAAAAAAATGATTGTAATATATATATATATATATATATATATATATATTATTTCCCTCATTTTATTTATTCCTATTTTACAAAGAAGTTAATGCAACGATTGCAAATATCATTCATCTGATTTGATGTTGTATTTTTGTTTTGTTTTGTTTATTCCAAATTCTTTGGGAAAATCTAATTTATAATTCGAGGTTGAAATTTAAGAGGCAAAAAAGTATTATTTGAAATTATAAGTAATAATAAAAATAATAATAATAATAATAATAATAATAATAATAATACCAATATGTTATTTAGAATAAAAGAAGAAACTTCTTGCTAATAATAGGTACTCGTGATGTATCATTTGTGTTCAAATGCGAAAGGCTTATTATTAAGCAATTGTTGTATTGTGTTGTATATATACGTATACGAAAATGTTAACACACATACAACAGACACACACACACACACACACACACACGTATACGCGTTGTTAAATATAAATGTGTCTATATATATATATATACACTTATATTTACAATTTGAAAAAACAAAAAAAACAATCTGTTATGACGGATTATCAACGAATTTTAATAACGTCAATGCTTAGACATTTAATGAATGTATTTTAAGGCTATTTTAACAAGTTTAAATATATATGTATATACGTATTGTTATTGTCGATGTAATTTCTTTTATTACAGTATAATATATACAAGATAAACATAATTATTATAAATTGATTGTAAAAAAAAAAAAAATAAAATAAAATACAGCGAAGGAAAATAAAAAGAAAAAGAAATGCACGAGAGAGAGAGAGAGAGAGTCAGCTTAGAAAAAAAAAAGAAAAAAATGAAACTTAACAACGTTGATTGTTCTATCAAATTAATCGAATTAATTATTTAATATATTAATGGCATTATTATTATTATATAATCGAAGACATATTGTGATGATTTAATGTGTGTGATAATTGTTTTTACTGACATAAAAAATCATTCACAATGTTGTTATTACTCTGACTCTTTTTACTTGATGAAAGAGAGGAATGCAATACATATGTGTATAATAATATGGTATATTACCAATTATAAATACGTACTAAGTGATGTTGAATAAAAAATGTTACATAAATGTACAGAAAATTACTGTATACGCAAAAAACAAATAATAATAATAATAATAATAATAATAATATAAAAAAAAGAATATGTTATAAAATATTATTATAATTCTGAAAAATAATTGAGTATGAATAAACATAGTGAGTTGTTTAATAATTCTGAAAAATAATTGAGTATGAATAAACGTAGTGAGTTGTTTAAATTGAAAAAAAAAAAAAACATATATACAATAAATACACAGGTAAGTTGATATAAGAATAATATATATATATATATATATATATATATATATATATATAATTTGCATTAAAAATAGATAAATAGACGTACATTATATTCTTTTTAGTATTTGTTACAAAGTTAACACTAATGGAAAATAAAAATGAAAGTAAATTATTTGACATTTGATATTTTATCGCTAATTATTATTTGAATCTTTTTACTAATTCGTAGCTTTTTTTTGTTTTTTTTTTTTTTAAATATGTATATATATATATATATATATAATGAAGTTTAAATTATGCGCACGTTTTTCGTTTTTTTTTTCTAACAATAAGATGAAAATTTGAAATATATGTTTTATTGGATTGTTCGGAAAGTAGTTTCATTTGCTTTTTTTTTTGTAAAAATGAAGACAATTTTTCGCTTCGAGATTAAACCTAGGCCTTTCAAGTAAATATAATCTGTTAAATTTGATAAATTTTAACACCTCATTGATCTCACGTGTTGTTATTTGTCGATTTGCATTAACTAATGTCTTTATTGTATCAGAAAAAAAAAAAAAACGAAATTACTTTTCGAACAATCCAATAATATGACAGACAATTTATAGAATTGATAAACATTTTCCCCACCAATTTGTTGTTTTTTTTGTTTTTGTTTGTATTATTTGTTTATACAACACACATGATTTGTATTGTGATTTTTAACAAATTATAAAGAATGCTCTTTATACAAACAGTAATTGCATCATTTGTATTTGTATATATATATATAAATTGTTATTTCTGATTATTATTATTATTATTATTATTATTATTATTATTATTATTATTATTATTATTATTATGTATAAAGTACAAAAAGTACTAAATCTTTCTATTTTTTCGTACATCTTATTATTAATATTATTATTATTATTATTATTATTACACATTAGTTTAACAAAAACGTATGTTTCTGTTTTGAATTTTGTCTCGTGCATACGCACATACATACACACGCACACACACACACATACATATACAGATATTTTATTTATTTATTTATTTTAGGTACTTTTGAAGTGATTTTTTTATTTTATTTTATTTTATTTTTTTTTTTTGCAGGAACATCTTCGAGAAAAATAGTTCAATGAGAAAATATGTGCCAGATAAAAAATAATGATAAAGATAATAGAAATTTGCATGTAATATTATTTTCTTTCTTAATTTAAATTTATCCTCACATTGAGAATTATAATAATATCATTTGCAATTATTATTATTATTATTATTATACTTTTTATGTTTCATTGTGGTATTTATATATATATATAATAAATAAAAAAAAAAATGTATATATGAATAATAATTTCAAGCATACTTTTACACATGTGATGATTTTTCTAAATATGTGATAGAAAAAATCCATTAAAATATTGTTTTT